TGGTTCCAGACAGGGCAAATACCATCTTTAGCTATCTATTTAACTTGATGGTAGTTTGTACAAATAAGGTGTGAAAATTGTATGTGTGGAGTATGTTGCAATTCAACTTTTCCTTGCTATTTGCAAAAGGGCCAGAGATTTTACTGTCTCTTTTAAAAAGTAGACACCTGGTATGACCAAACTCTAGATTAAAAACACCCCTCCCCACCCCCCAATTCCTAATATTTAGAAGAGAGCATGAAATCAAAGAGATTATTGCTCTGGGAATGGGAAGAAAGGTACCTATATAAACCACTTCTCCCCATATGAGTTCACCCCTTTCTGGTATGATATTTCTGTAGAAGTGTATACATGTGATTGCAGAGCTCAGCAGACATAATCCAGTTCTTTCCACCATAACTCCATGCATCCCCTGCGCTCCAGGGAGGAGCTGGCCCCAGTAGGAAATGCAGGTAGGAGTTAACTTATGCAGGGCTCACTGTGGGAGACAAGGTAACCTTCAGTGCTTTATTCATCAGCTCCCCATCACCTACCAAAGAATACAATCCCTTAACCTGCTCCTCAAGGATTGCCACGACCACTCACTTCATGTTGGTTATGGATATACTGCGAAGACTTTGCTTACAAAACTTTGCCTTTCTCTGATCATGCTGAGATACTTTGAACTGAATATGTTTGAACTATTGAATGAACGAACTAGAATTATGTTTGGTTTCCAAATTCTGTAAAATTTGGAATGATCTCTGCCCCAGGAGCCACATGGTTTAACAGGGAGATAAACCAAAGGGCTGAGGAAGGCTCCAGAAGGTTTGGTGCAGGAGCCCAAGTGCTCAGGTACAAGGCCCTGGAGCTCATGTAAACTGTCCAGGTGCCAGTGGCTTTGCCACCTTGTGTATAGCAGCGGGCATAGGTTCAGTGACCAGGCTCTGAAGTCTGTGAACCTTCGCTGTATCTCACATGTCACTCTCACTGCTTGCTTTATTATTATTATTATTGTTATTATTATTGTTTAAAGTATTACTCACTGGCTGGTTTTGACCTTTGAAGTGATGGAGGCACCAGATAACCAAAATAAAGACATGAGGACAGAATAACTAGTCAAAATCAAAGTGTATGAGCGAAAAGGGATGTTTTCTGGTTGCCACAAGTTAAATTTTTTCTTATAAATATATTGGCATAAAGAATAATTCCTGGGTACATTCCATTTGTCCTTTGTTTCCTCCCTTGTAGGGTTATATTATTATTGATGTCATTAAAAGTGCATTCATCAGGCCTAGCTGTCAGAGAGTTGCACTTATTTGGTGCCCACAGGCAGTTTTGAGGTAAATCTCTTGCTTTAGGGCATTAGCTGATCAATACCGACATCTATAGTGAGGGATTGTTTTCCCACCTCCCTCTGCATGAAATCACTCTGGACGGAGTGGGGCGTCTAAGAGAAGGTGCCCCTACAGACCCTTCCTTCTGCATCCCCTGCCTTTTCAGGAGGGGCAGCCTCCTAGGTCCAAGGAAAGGCCTTGGAAGGAACATGGCAGCTTCTGATCACCCCTAGCCCTGCCATTTTTTCAGCTTATTCACTCTTCCTTCCTGGTTTTCAGACTGAGAATCTCAAGTCTTATTTTGTCTTTGAAGTTTATGGGGCCAACATTCCTTCACTTCAAGACCAAAACCTTCCTGTTATTGCCTTTTTTTACTTATGAGGAGGAGTTTGTCTTATTCATTTCTGTAATTGGAGTCCTAGCAGGGACAATATACTTGACAGGTGGTTAATATTGCTGAACTGAATTAATTCCTAAAATGTGAGTTTGGTTTTTTTGTTTAATAAAAGGCCTCCCCCTGCCCTCTCTCCTTTCCCCCCCCCACTCACCTCACCTTCCCCTCCCACTAATTCAGCCGCATTTCTCTGCTAAATCACACCGGTATTCCACCAGCTTCATGTTCTTGGAGGCATGTCTTCTAGAGCCTTCTTACCAACTCTAAGCTGAACTGGTTGTTCTCTTCACCCAGTATGGAGGGGAGACCCTGGGACCTCACCTCATCCTCCTGGAAAGCTCCTTCTCTCTGTGTCAGACCATCCGTTTCTTGGATCCCATGTGGCCTTTGGTTTGGTTTACTGTCTCCCTTTGGTCCTTCAGTACTTTCCTGATAAAGGGTATATGGGAGGTAAATTATTTTAGGCTTTGCTTGTTGAAAATACTTTTATTCTATCTAACAACTAAATTAATGGTTTGGTCAAGATTTCTCCTCAGAATTTTGAAGGCATTCTTTTCCTTTCTTTGATTAGCTCATGCTACTGATGAGAAGTCTTATTCTTAATCCTTTGTATGTAACCTGTATTTTTCTCTCTGGAAGCTCTTTGTTCTCAGGGTTCTGAGATTTCACCATCATGTGACTTGGGAGTCTCCTAGCAGTGACTGTGGTGACAGCAGTGACGGAGGCACAGGCTCCAGAGTCTCACTCTTTAGGTTCAAATCCAGTGCCACCACTCATAGCTTTCTGACCTCTGTGCCTCAGTTTCCTCATCTTGAAATGGAGATGATAATAGTACCTACCTCATAGGGTTTTCGTGAGAATTAAATAAATTAATATCTGTAAAAAGCTAAAAACAGTGTTATTTAAGCATTATCTTTTATTAACATTCAAATATGAAAAAATGTTCTCTTAGAGTTCTGTGAAGTTTCTTGACCCTGTGCCTTGAGTATGAATGTTGGTCTTGAGAGGGGGGATGGTTGTACAGGGGAAGATGTGGCTGAGTCTCTGATGTGAGACGAATTTCAATAGGGCAAGGCTGATAAAGAAATAGGTAACTGCTATTGCTGGTAAGACACCCCTGGACTATGGATTCTCAGCTCAGGATTGGAATAACAGGGAAAGGAAAGACAATCTTTGAAGAAATCTGGTCACTCCAATTTAGAATTCAGATATGCTCCCTGGAAAGGTACTTTTGTTTTTCAGTTTAAAAGGAAATATCATGACATAGATTGAGAATGACAGAAAAATGGGAGGATGCTTTGGAGATTCTTGGTGTCTTTATGAATGAGAAATATCTGGTGATGATGCTGTCATTGTTAGTCGTCATTAATGGTTAAGCTGGACCAACATAGGCATTTCCTAATTTCTATATTAGGAAGTCAAACAATTATTTACCCTTCTAGTAATTGAAATTTTAACATATAAAGTGTTCACGGACTTATACTCAAAATGCTCTATTGATAATAGGAATGACAATTCAGGGTAATTCAAGAGCCCCAATTAATGAGAGAAAGCTCTACATTAAATAATAATTCCAAATAATTCATTTAGAATAAAAATTTTTGAAATCACCATTTTGTACCACTCTCATGCAATAATTGATTTGAAGGCCATTAAGAGATGCTAAAACCACTAGTTGAAAGGGAGGGGGAAAGGAGTATTCACCTGGTGCCAAAGTATTGTACGTAGGATACTTACTATTTGCAAAGAGGCTTCCATTACAATGGACAGATATGCTATCAACAGATGATCCCACTATTCAAACACCACATCACTAATAGTGAGATAAGCCACATGTGGATCCCAATGTAATAAACATATTTGCCAAAATATCTTTATCCTGATTCTAGTAACTAAGCTTTTAGGTCTGACTTCCATCTTAGAGAATAGGAGATAGAGGAACCAGGAACATGATACCATGAGGAAAACATCAAGCCAATCCAGAATGTGGAACACTCTACAACTAACATTATCTTTTCAAAAAGGGGCCAGGACAAGGAGACTGGTCTACATTATGATATTTAGGAGATATAATCATATGTAATGCATGATCCTTGATTGGATTTTGGTTGAAAAAACTATGAAAGATATTTTTGGCATGATGGGCAAAATTTTAATAAGGAATGGCATTAGACATACTATGCCATCAATGTTAATTCTGTCAGGTGTCCTAATAGCATTGTAGCTATGTAAGAAAATGTCCTTTTCAGGGGGAGAGGGGAGACTGCCAGCAGAAGCATTTAGGGGTGTGATTTCATGTCATGATGTAATTTGCTCTGAAATAATTTAGATAAATTGATATGAAGCAGGTTATGGCCAAATGTTAACCGTTATTGAACCAAGATGGTAGGTACATGGATATTCATTGTTTTATTCTACTTTTCTATTTGTTTGAAAAATTTATATTAAGAAATTTAGGGAAATGGCCTGCAGATGCAAAGTTGTGTACATCTGGCCTGACAGTGTTTTGGAAGGAACACGAGTGAGTGTGTCAAGAGCCACATTTGCTTTGGGCACCCTGGAAGGAGCATTTGCTCTGTGTGTTCTCCACAGCAATGGCGTGAGATAGTCATTCGCCCCAGAATATAGGAGAGTTTTGGAAGAATTAATGTGCTTCCCAGAGTGCCCACGTCATTGTCAGGAATAATTTCCTCACTGGAGGGATCAGATTGAATGATTTACGTTAGGACTGCAATGGAGATGCTCCTTGTTTGGTTGCTAGTGAGATTCTCTCCCCCCAAATCAATTCACTTAAAATGACCTCCTTTACGTAAGTTTTTTTTTTTTTTAATTTTACTATTTTTTTTATTGCTTAAAGTATTACAAAGGGAATTACATATGTGTCCATTTTATCCCCCCGCCCTAGACAGTCCCCTAGCCTCCCCTATCCCCCAGTGTCTTATGTCCATTGGTTATGCTTATATGCATGCATACAAGTCCTTTAGTTGATCTCTTACTCCCCTACCTCCTGCCCCCCAACCCTCCCCGGCCTTCCCGCTGCAGTTTGACAATCTGTTTGAGGCAGCTCTGCCTCTGTAACGTAAGTTTTTTTTTAAAGGATGTATTTTCTTTTCTTTTTTTAAAGCAAACATCATAAAGTAGTTGTCCTATCCATTCAGGCATCGATGTAGAGGGAGAGTTAAAATGTGGAATTGCTTCCTGCAGTGCAAAATTGTTCTTAAATTGTACTTGTTGCTTAGGAAGTGACTTCACAGCCCCAACCAGTTCCTTCGTTTCTGACATGATTTCAGGGAACTGGACTGTGCCATGTTACGCCGCCTGGAGAAGAGGATTCTGGTTGACCTCCCCAGCCAGGAGGCCAGGAAAGCCATGATCCACCACTGGCTGCCCCCCGTGAGCAAGAGCAGGGCGCTGGAGCTGCACACGGAGCTGGAGTACGGCATGCTGAGCCAGGTGAGCGGCCCTGGAGAGGCATCGCCGGCCAAGCAGCCGCCACATGACCATCTTCTCGGCAGGATCTTCTCATGAGCTGCTCGGAGCCTCTTCCTTGAGTCACTTAGAAACGATCCAAGCTCCCCAACAATGCCACGGGCCTCTTCTTCATGAAAGAATGAGCTCTTTGTCACTCGGAAATATTCAAGCAGGGAGAAGCAATATGAAATAGCAAAAATAGCACAGGGTTTAGACCTGGAGAACCTATGTCAAATCCTTGCCCTGTCAGCTGCTTACTATCTGTGTGACCTCAGGGAGTCACTTATTCTCTGAGCTTCAGCCTTTTCATCTATAACAGCGGTTCTCAACCTGTGGGTCGCGACCCCTTTGGGGGTCGAACGACCCTTTCACAGGGGTCGCCTAAGACCATCAGAAAACACATATATAATTACATATTGTTTTTGTGATTAATCACTATGCTTTAATTATGTTCAATTTGTAACAATGAAATTGGGGGTCACCACATGAGGAACTGTATTAAAAGGTCATGGCATTAGGAAGGTTGAGAACCACTGATATATAAGATGGGTAACAGATATGCCACAAAGGATTACTGTGATGATTAAATGAGAAGTCTTTTACAAATCCAAAAGCTCTAGGTGCATATCTGTTGCCTTCATTGTCGCTGCTATCATTGCCTTCTCTGAGTGGACACTTGAACTTGATGTTCATTGAGGTTCCTCTAAGGCAGCTTATGGTCTTATTTGCAAGAACAAAAATGTCTACTTAAATTTGATCATCCTTGGATTTGGCACAAGGGCCCCATTAGACTAACATGGGTGGTCTAGTCTTCACCAACATCTTATAGCATATATTTGCGGGGAATTAGGAAGTTGTTGCCCAGCTTCTTAGGTTATCCAAACATGTTAGAGACCTCTCTTTCCCCAAGCATTGTCTGTCTGGGAATCTCTGTACAGTGTCCATGTGGGGCAGATCCAGAATCTAAACAGGGGCTCTGATATACTGGGTCCTGACCAGAAGGATGTGATCACCACCAACATTCTGCCTGCTGACCAATGGCTGGTTTGGGGCTCTTTCAGGAGACTGAGGGCTACTCAGGCTCAGACATTAAGCTGGTCTGCAGGGAAGCAGCTATGCGGCCTGTGAGGAAGATCTTCAATGCACTTGAAGATCACCAGTCAGGTACAGCTGGGACCACAGCAAAGGTGCTCTGGGAGGGAAATCTGTTTAAAAATCCAACTTTCACCAGCAGGTGGAGCCTTGCGCCCGTTCTTGGGGGCTCTTTGCTCTTGCACACAATCTTGGTCTCTCTTTCCTGCACTCACTCAACTCCTTCCTCCTCTGGTGTTCTGTTTTGGATCCACTTTGCCCCAGATGATAAACTCCTTAGGGCTCGGGCTTTTATTTCTCTGGCACACGATGATGTTGGGCTGGATCCACTGCGGCACTATATAAATATTAAATAAAACTTTGATGATACATTTAAATCACATATTTTTGTCTGGACTTCAGGGGCTGAGTTGTACATTAAAGAATTTTCATCTGAGCCCTCTTTAGTGTTGACTTTTCTGCATTAACCATTAAGAATGTTGCATTATGCATTGTCTTTAAAGAAGGTCTCTTAGCATTTCAAGATCATTGATCACCATAAGGTCGATTGTTATGCTGTTACTGTTGTTTTTATCTAGAGAGCAGCGATTTACCTGGGATCCAGCTGGGCACAGTGACCACTGCTGACTTTCTGGATGTGTTAGCTCACACCAAGCCTTCAGCAAAGAATCTGACTCAGAGATACTCAGCCTGGCAAAGTGAGTTTGAATCTGTTTGAAATCACATTGACCCTGACCTGGCCACAGAGACAACCACAGAGGCCTTCTGCTTTATTGTGTAAGTGGAAGAACATAATGATTGGAATAAGAGGAGAGAAACTCATTCTTGAAGACTGAATTAATTTGGACAACTGCATTGCTTTAGAAATGAGATATTTTCATTAATTTTTCATAATTGATGTCAGCAAAATATTAAAGATTTCAATTACAGTCAGATGTGCTATTAGGTCATACAATGGAGACTTTTCTTACAATTAAACTCTGTAGAATTTTGAAGAACAATCTGTTGCCGTGTTCCTCATTTGTGACTGGGATTTTCCTTTTGACGGAAAGAAAAATGTAGTTAGGAAAAGTGTGTTGGAATGCAGGGGGTGGTTCTGAGATGGGGAGCCAATTGGAAACTAAGCTTGATAGACCATTTGACCTACAGACAATTCAAGGGTGGATAAGGACGGGAACAGAAAAGGAAATGCAGGGTCTATTTCTTCTGACAATATTCTGAATTTCATCAGCTCTCAGTACTTCTGACCTCAACCAGTTTTATCAGCAGCAAACCCCTAGCAGAGTAGGCCTCACTTGGAAATGTCACTCCATCTTTAGAGACTGCTGCTTGGAGTCTAGAGCTAACAGCAGTGGTGACTAGCACACCACCACCACTAGCTACCAGTCTGAACATTTTGAGTTCTGATCCCTAATAACATCTTTTGACTTTACTGTGTGCGCTGCCTGTCTCTTCCCATCACACAGCACCTCGTTGGACCCAAAGCTTCGGCTGGAGTATCCGAGCTTCTAGAACAGCCATCCCCAGTCTCCCTGCTCTTAGGCTCCTTCATCTCTCCATATGGGTCATGAACAGCTGGAAGCATCTCCCTCAGAAACCCCCATTTGAGAAGCATCCACTTTCAACTCCTGATAAATTCTGAAGGCTTCCACTAATAACATCATCGCCACCCCCAACTAGAACTTATCTACAGTAAGTCACCATCTTTTACTTGCCTTGTTTCATCATCCCTGCAAGACAGGCTCCTCTTCCAAAGAAAAACTTCCAGTAAATGGGACATTTGGATAGGTAAATATTCCAAAGGACTTTGTTTACCCTTTTAAGCAAAAACAAAGCATGAGGGGGGACATTATTTTGAGTAGAATATTCTCAAATTTCTCTTAAAATGCACTCATGGGAAACTGTAAATTTAAAATACACCTTACATAACAAATTCAAAGTAAACAAAAAGATATTTTACCATAGGATATGCTAAAAAATACTTCATTAGCTATTACCCTATGCCACACTAGTGATACCTGATGCATAGGTCTCTGAACTAAATGGCCGCAGGCTGCTAACTGTTCAATTTCCAACATCTGCTTCCTGTGCTTTTGGGTTATTTCCTTGGTCAGGCTGCCAGCTGACATTTCTTTTAGTTGGTAGTCCATTTGCTTGTGGCTATTTGTCCTTTCTGATTTCATAAAATCCCAATTAGCTGGATCCACTATTTTTAATTTGTTGTGGTTAGAAAGTAGATAAGTACCCTGACTGATTTGGCTCAGTGGATAGAGCTTCGGCCTGCGGACTCAAGGGTCCCAGGTTCGATTCTGGTCAAGGGCATGTACCTTGGTTGCAGGCACATACCCAGTGGGGAGGGTGCAGGAGGCAGCTGATTGATGTTTCTAACTCTCTGTCCCTCTCCCTTCCTCTCTATATAAATCAATAAAATATATTTAAAAGACAAACAAAAAAAAGTAGATAAGTTTGCATTGTATGTGTATCTAACAGTGAACACATAAAGGGCAGGGCCCTGCCGAAACCGGTTTGGCTCAGTGGATAGAGCGTCGGCCTGTGGACTGAAAGGTCCCAGGTTCGATTCTGGTCAAGGGCATGTACCTTGGTTGTGGGCACATCCCCAGTGGGAGATGTGCAGGAGGCAGCTGGTCGATGTTTCTCTCTCATCGATATTTCTAACTCTCTATCTCTCTCCCTTCCTCTCTGTAAAAAATCAATAAAATATATTTTTTTTAAAAAAGGGCAGGACACTCTTGTGGACATCCTTTGTAACCATATTTGGGCCCTTTTAGCTTACGGCTGCCCGTTCCTGACTCCTCTCAGGGTTAAGTGTGGTTTTGCCATCCCTCACAGTAAAGACACCCAATCTTCTTCCACTTCCAGAACCCCACACACAGTCCACTGTGTACCGAACACATCTCCACATCCTTCCTCCATTCCTTTTAAGAATCTCCAAGTTCATCTTGTAATACTTCCAACTTCATTCATTCACATATTTAATCCTTCTCTCCTTTCTCCCTTGCAAAGATTGTCTCCAAATAATTATGCATGTGTTTTCAGGTCACACTTTTATTTTGGTGAGTTCTTTTTTAAGACAGTTTATATATTAAAATGACTTCTGCTTTGGATGAAATTAAATGTAGCTCTTTCATCCCTCTGCCCTGTCCCTACCACACAAGTATGTCTTTTCTTATCATTCCAAATAGTCATGTTATGACATTAGGTTAACTCAGTAATCGGTATTCACTTCAGAGCCAATTAGTGAATCAGGATTAATTTTCTTTTTTGGTGACTTTTGTCTTACCTGGAATGAATAACTGCCATTTCCCCCCATTTGCTTAGTTTTCTAAGGATCTTTTTTGCAACACATCCTTCAGATCAGTTACCCATCAGTATTATTTTCCAAATGGCCAAATATCAGACAAATTTTCAATTCTACCCCTGGGCCCTCTGGTCCTGGGATGCAAGGGGAAGGGAACTGAGGACCCCTGTAGTATAAGTAGACATGTGCCTAATTCCCAATGTCAGCCCCTCCTCATCTCACCCTGGCCCACTGCCACACCCACTGTCCCCAAGGCCTTAACTTTCATGGTTTCACTTTTTCAGAAAATAAACCTCCATTCTCCTGCCTAGGCTGGGGGTACTCATCTGGCTCTCAGGGTGGGCAGGGTCTAGGGCTCCATTGTGTTTACCAGCTTTCAAACAATTCCTTGCTCTCAACCCTGCCTCACACCTCACTTCCTCTCTACCTGGTACCTCCCAGCCTTGATTCTTTGAGGTGGTTCTTCAGGATGAATTTTGGCTCTTTTCTTTGCGCTGATTTTAATTACCAACACTGCATTCACTTACCGTCTTCCAAATTCTCACATCCTCTCATCCACTGATGTCTCTTCTACTGTTCTCTTGCAGGTTGTCTTCCTGGATTTATGCATCCTTTCTTCCTTTCCTCCTTAGTAAGGCTTTGAAAGAGACCACCTAACATATATGATTAATCCACTATGTTTATAGAATCTATGATTATTTTTAAAGTAGATTAAAAGCACACCTGAGTTTATAGGGCTATGGGAGATTGACCGATTAATTGAAGGAAGAAAATGTAACCTAAGCCAACATGTGGTGTTTTCTTCTAAAGCAGAGGTCAAACTCAAATTCCTTTAGAAGCCTAGGATGTAGTAACACATGAGTAAAGCGAGGGGGGTGTAAGACAAGGAAGAGTTGGGGAACATGGGGAAGTGGAGAGGGCCAAAACTCTCTGAATGGCAATAGTGACTCAGCTCCAACTGAATACAGAAATTCAGACCTAACCTTGCCAGATCTTCCAATCTTCCGAGGAAAGCCAGTAATTGATCTGCACTTGAAATACCTGACAGATGTTGGCCCTACTCATCTAAAATAACCCCGCCTGTTGGGAAAATTGGACAGATACATGCAAAAAATGAAACTAGACCACCAACTTACATCATACACAAAAACAAACTCAAAATGGATAAAGGACATATGACGGGAAACCATAAAAATCTTAGAAGAATCCATAGGCAGCAAAATGTCAGACATGTGTTGTAGCAATATCTTTACTGACACAGCTCCTACAGCAATGGAAACTAAGGAGAAAATAAACAAATGGGACTACATGACAATAAAAAGTGTCTGCACAGCAAAAAAAAATCCATCGACAAAACAAGCCCACTGCATGGGAGAACATATTTGCTAATGTTATCTCCAATAAGGGTTTAATCTCCAACCTTTACAGGGAACTTAAACAACTTAACAAAAGGAAGTTAAACAATCCAATCAAAAAGTGGACAAAGGACCTACAGAAAGCCTTTGAAAGAGGATATACAGAAGGTCAAGAGACATATGAAAACATGCTCAAAGTCACTAATCATTCAAGAGATGCAAATCAAAACAACAATGAGGTACCATCTCACACCTGTCAGAATGGTATCATCAACAAATGACAAGTGCTGGAGAGGATGTGGAGAAAAAGGAACCCTCTTGCACTGCTGGTGGGAATGCAGACTGGTGCAGCCACTGTGGAAAACAGTATGGAGTTTCCTCAAAAAATAAAAAATGGAACTTCCATTTGACCCACTAATCCCACTTCTAGGAATATATTTCAAGAAACCAGAAACACCAATCAGAAAGGATATATGCACCCCTATGTTCATAGCAGCACAATTTACAATAGCTAAGATTTGGAAACAGCCTAAGTGCCCATCAGCAGATGAGTGGATTAGAAAAACTGTGGTACATCTACACAATGGAATACTATGCTGCTATAAAAAAGAAGGAACTCTTACCATTTGCAACAGCATGGATGGACCTGGAGAGCTTTATGCTAAGTGAAATAAGCTAGTTGGAGAAAGATTAATATCACATGATCTCACTCATTTGTGGAATATAATGAACAACATAAACTGATGAAGAAAAATAGAGCCAGAGGAAAAAAATATTTTAAAATAGAAGTAATCCTGTTATTTGCAGGTTTTTAATATTTCCTACAACTTGTGATATTATGTTAGTACAGTTTTGGTAATATTAAATTTTTTTCTTGAAATATTAACGTTTATTGCATTAATATTATATTTAAAATAGTTTTTCTTGCAATATTAATGTTTATTGCATGTAAATGGCTATTTTGTATTTACAATGTGGTAATAGTTTTATTTTGTATATTGTAAAATAATAACATTAATTATAAAATAACCCCCTCACTCTTACTGGCTTTAGTCATCTTCATCACTTTATCAGTATCTGTTGTATGTTTCATCTGCATACCCTACTCAAATGTTAACACCATGGTTGTGATCCTTTTGACGCTGCTGTTGAATGAATGAAACATTTGGCACTGGCCAAAGCACTTAGCTCACTGCACATGACCTCCTCTCTGATAGGACTTATACAACCCCTTGAACTTGCCAGTGTCCTTTGCACTATTAGTTCTATTTTTATATGCAATGATTTCCCAACTAGAAGATACGCCTTTAAGGAGTGGGAGCTACATTCTGCTCTCTCTTCCTTAGTGCTTTACACACTAGTGGGCACTTAATAGTTGGATCTTCTCAGGCACAACAGCTAGTGAAACAAATAGGTGTTGAGATGTGTATGACACGAGAGTAAGCACTGAAAAAAGTAAGGTATTCAAATTGTTTGATTTTAACAAATACATAGTTTAAATTATGATATTTTCTGGTGCTTAGGTGCCTTGCTCTGGATGTCTATTATAGGTACCCGAAGACTTCAGTTTCATATTACAGAAACAATGATTGATCCAAAACCAATCGAGCACAACCTGTGTTTTTTACTTACCTGTCCAACATGCTACTGTAATATTTAAACGTGAAGTTAAGGTGAGGAAACTTCTGGCATCCACAGCTACAGGTGTTTGATGGAACTGTCGCTTAGGGTGAGCTCCCTTTCCTTTCCTAGACATTACAATCGGCTCTGACAGATGTAGAATGGTAGTAGAGCTATGCAAAACTAGCAGATTCTGGAGGTGTGAGGGAAGGTGCAACATGCAAGCGTCTCCTCCACTGGCCTGGGGCCTCGTCCTCCTCCACCCTAGCAAGAACCTGGCTCACAGCAGATACTCAATAACCATCTCCCGACAACGGGTGTTCTCCAGTACCCTTTCTAGTCCTAAGATGTCACTTAGTCCCTATTCTGGGCCCAGGACAGAATTACAGTAAACCGGATACAAATACTGTCCTTGAGGTTAGGGACCACAAGATAGCCCTTTACATGGGAGGGCTGAAAAATGAAGTCCTTTAGATAGTTTGGTTTTAAAATCTGCTTCATGAGGCCCAAGACAGACCAACCAGCTGAGCTGGGAAAATTTATACTAACCTGGATCTAAACCAAGATTTTTATTTATCCTCATGAACCTGTGGACAGGTGGCTAGTGAGCCCAATATAATGTTTGTTAAATCAGTAAAATATCAAACTGAGATGGTAAGGGCCCATGGGGCCAAACCAGAATGAAGCAAAGTAGAGAAGCCATTTCTCTTCGCTGGATGTTATGCTTAAGTGATCTCACCCATTCCTGTCACTCTATTTAATTCCTGGCCATCAGTGATGCCTACCTCTTGGCTTTGGCTCTAACCCAGGGGTGGGCAAACTTTTTGACTCGAGGGCCACAATGGGTTCTTAAACTGGACCGGAGGGCCGGAACAAAAGCATGGATGGAGTGTTTGTGTGAACTAATATAAATTCAAAGTAAACATCATTACATAAAAGGGTACGGTCTTTTTTTTTTTTTTTAGTTCTATTCATTTCAAACGGGCCGGATCCCGCCCGCAGGCCGTAGTTTGCCCACGGCTGCTCTAACCTGTCTCCAGAGCATTGGATCCATTATTTCCAAGTGTCTAAGGGGGCTTCCCCTATGGCAACAAGTCTAAAATGAATCTTATTTTGTTCTCCTCCCCCCCCCCCCGCACCCCCCACCCACCTTCTAAAATTAAATTCCTTCTAAACAGCTAGTTTTGTATTGGTTCAGTAACCATCTGAGTGCCTGTGCTGTAGCAGATATTTTTTTAAAAAATGAGCCACAGCTCTGTCTGGTGGGGACAAGAGACGTGTGAAGACCTAAGTGCAATCTAATAAGTGCTATGCTGCTCGAAGGTGGGAATACTCCTCTCCATCCTGCAGTCAGGATGACATCACAGAGGACGGATGGAGTATTTATGTCTGTGTGTTCCCCTCAGCTCCCCCATGAGTAAGGGTCCTCCAGGCTAACTCCTTTTCTTACATGCTTATTTCCTAGTCTGGCACGTAACACAGAGCAACTAGCAAACAATCACTGATCTAGGCGCCCTGCACCAGGCACCAACCAGCACTCTACCTGCACGCTGAGCTTCTCTGAGTGTGGCTGTGCTCCGAGGGAGCTGAAATGTAACAGAACATCTTTCTTTTTTTTAAACTCGCAGGAAGACTTTCCCCATTGTAGGAACTATAGAGAGGAATTCCACCAACCCTTTCCACATGGTTAAACATTGTGGATACTGCTACACCACCACCACCACCACCACCACCAATATCTAGCATTTGCTTGATTCTGTTCTAAGTACTTAATGTATGAACATGAATTTAACCCTCACAACAAGCCTATGTGGTGGACATGATCGTTATCTCCATTTTTACAGAGAAGGGAAAGGAGGCATGCCAGGCTAGATCACTTGCCCAGGATTACAGAACTAGTTACGTGCTGGATGGCTCCCAAATCTATGCTCTCTGCCACTCACTCATCTTTCAATCTAGGGTTGTGGTCCTGTCACATCTATCTCTAGGATGTTTAGGTACCAAGTTGGGGCATCTGCAAAAACAAGAAGAGTGATCACCAAACTACCAAAAGGAGATGAGAGGAGCTCCCATTTATTTAGCTTTGCTCCCTCCCATCTAAGACCAAGCTGATATCTAAACAAGAATCAAAACCCAAAGCTCATTAACATCAGTGTGTGCTTCAATAAGGTGAACACTACAATGATGTACAATTACATGCTAATAATTCAATGCCCAAGAGTCCTGTAACACAATTGCAAAGGCCCAGGATTATCACAGTATGCAAATGCACTAGGAAAATCATTACCTACTTAGTCCCCTTCATTTTGGTGGGTTTAACATGAGAAGAATAATCCATGCTACCAGACGAGATTTCATTTTACAGCTGTAGTAACCAAGTACATAAAAGCCTGAATCTGTCCCAATAGCTTCTAAAAGATTTTTCCCATAGTGTCAGAGGCAAAAATAATGAAATCTTGCAAATGTACAGTAAATAGGACCCTCGTGGACACTAACTTCAAAAATGCATGGTCTATAAGACATTAAAGGCTTGATTTTAGTTTCTGCACTGTTCCTGTTAATAACAATGTCTAATTAAAACATCTGTAAAATACTGATAGTTTTAATTTTACATAAAATTTCCAAAACAACTGTTACACACTATAATAGGTATCTGCAATGAATAGGTTATTAATGGAAATATTATTTTAAATTAAAATCAGGTTCTAAATTTAAATTAGTCATCTCTGGCTAATGAAGAGAAAAAGAAGTCATCCGTGCTGGGAATAATACTCCAGATAATCTAGTTTTCAACATCCGTTAAAGCAAATTCATTCAATCACTTGGGCTAAAGGACAATTTATTTTGCTTCTTCTGACTTGTACTCTACTTGGCACTTTTGATGAGTTTCACAGCTGAACTGAATATTAAAACTATAGCGTAATGCATCTTTCAACTTCATTCACAATCTGAACCCACCCTCCCAATTTAGCAGTGAGGAGACAGCCGAGAACTCAACTCCCTGCAGTAGCTTCTCCCTCCCAGCCCTGCCTAATCTGATGAATATTTTAAAAGGCATGGCATAAAATCTCAGCTTTCCTTTTCTTCAGGTCTCATCTTCTTTTACAAAATACAACAAAAGAGATAAGCAAGGCTTAGTGGCTAGCTATAATTCAATACCTTTCTTTCTAATTAGTGCACAATACAAGCGGGTTACACATCTCAGCGCTGGGGACTGTGTCTGCCTGTGCTGGCGCTGAGTCGGTAAGGAATTCATTCCAGACGATGCAAAGCTGCATTTCAAGTTGCTTCTGATTCACACAATGGTTCACAGTAGATGCTGCAGAATGTGGTCCACAGCATGAGGGAAACTCTCACACGTTAAGTAAGGAGGTGGACTAACTTTTTCTTCATCTGCTGCTCGGTATTTTCCTGAAATGGAAGTAAAGATAGTGAACGAAGGCTACTGCTAGAATGCCAGTGATCACAGCCTGTGGACACCTAGGCCACTGCAGAACCACCCTTCCAATTACTCGAGAATCAGGGTCCATATCTCCCAAAGCACCTTTTACTGAGGCTTCAGGATGCAATGAGGCAATTCAAAGAAATACCACATTCAGCATTTTCCAGGCCTACCTCTAGCCATTCACAATCAGAGGTACTGGGTCACCTGACAGCTAAGGGTCCCTTAGAACTCCACAGCTGATGAAATTATTTTCTACCCCCACAAGCCCTGAGGACAGAAATGGTGAGTAAATCAATGCTTTTAAATGGAAGCCCAGACCCCACAGGGCAGAGGCCCTGTCAGCTCCCAAGGGTGACTGCTGCCAAGCAGGAGCCCTACGCGCCTGGCACATAAGAGCGCCTGGGGGTGGGGAAGGGAAGAGTGACGGATGCTCATAGGTACGGGCCAGACCGTGTACATGGAGGGGCTCAAGGGGCAGGGCACTGCCCAGCTCTCCCCAGACTCTGGGCCTCAACACAGCAGAGGCCCCATTTCACACAGTGGTCACAGAGAGCTTTTACTAATGAAAATCAGATGACTTGTGGTCTCTATTTAAACACTCTTACTGGGTCCCCCAGCCCTTTGGAAAGAGCCCCAAATCTCTATTGTTGCCTAGCAGGCCTCTGACATGGGCCCCAGCAGCCCTGTCACCCCGGCATGTGCACTGGTCACAAGGCTGCAGTCCTAGACTGGACCTGGCTCTTTTGAGGACTGTCACACCTGCTATTCTTTGCCTGGAACATTCTTCTCACCCGATTATCACCCTCATACTTCAAGTCAGATTCCATATTCCATCCAAATTAGATCCCCTCCTGGTTATTCTCTCTTAGTGCCCTGTTTATTTTTTGCCTCCACGATATTTATAACAATTTATAATCTACATATATAAAAGCCTAAGCAACCGTTATGACTGGACGACCACACAACTGGATGACCAGCTGGTAGCTATGATGCGCACTGAACACCAGGGGGCAGACGCTCAACACAGGAGCTGCCCCCTGGTGGTCAGTGCACTCCCACAACCAACCTCCCATGGTTCCCCCCATCCCGCCCGCCAGTCAGCCCTGATCACCGGCCAGGCCAAGGGACCACACCCATGCACGAATTCATGCACCGGGCCTCCAGTCTATAATAATAAAAGCATAATATACTCATTAGACTGGATGTCCTTCTGGCCAACCTTACGGACAAAGCCAGGGCTGCGAGGGAAGCCCGAGTCCCGGGTGCTAGAGGGAAGCTGGTACCAGCAAGCATGAATTTCGTGCATTGGGCCTCTAGTTACTTATATATTTGTTTAATGTCTGACTCACACCTGAGATTATTAAACTCTCTAAGAGTAGGCACTAGGCCTATTACATTCCCCAATGTACCCTCAGCACCTGACATAATGACTAGCACATTGTGAGCTTTCCACAATTAATTTTTAAGAATGGAAGGAGAGCCCAGCAGGTGTGGCTCAGTGGTTGAGCTTCAACCTATGAACCAGGAGGTCACGGTTCAATTCCTGGTCAGGGCACATGCCTGGGTTGCAGGCTACATCTCCAGTGCAGGAGGCAGCTGATCAATGATTCTGTCTCATCATTGATGTTTTTATCTCTCCCTCTTCCTTCCTCTCTGAAATCAATTCTGTAATACTTTCAACAATAAAGATTAAAAAAATAATAAAATAAAATATAAGGGAGAGAAGAATTGCAAAACACTGCTTCAGCTGAGGTCTTGAGGAAGAGGCCAACTGCCCTGTAGCCACCCTGGCTGCCTCTGGACTTCTCCTTGCTCTCCATTCCTTTTTCTGTGGTTTCTGCAATTCATCATTCTGCATTTTCCAGTATTCTCTGCCTAAATGCAGCTTCCCCAACACCAAGCCCACCATTTTCTACAATTTCTTGTTTTCTACAATTATCTCTTTAAGAGGCTTTGCCCAGCAAACACAAAGCCTAAAAACCCCGTTCCACACCTTTGCACTGCAGTGGTGAAGATGCTTCTTATCCTACTGACTGTGAATTCCTACAGAAGGGGAGCCAGCAGCAAATGTACAAAGGTAATGAACATATACCTCACTCACCTTAGCATCTTCAAGGTACCTGTCCACAGTACGCAGCAAACTACTGCTAGTTTTTTCTCAAGCTTAAATGCCTTTAAGGATTAACTCCTTTGCAAGGTTTCTACTTGGTCTCATAGGTAAGTTAATGACTAACTATTCCTCTATCACCTAATCCCTGCACCCCATGGTCTAAGGCAGGGGTGGGCAAACTTTTTGACTCGAGGGCCACAATGGGTTCTTAAACTGGACCGGAGGGCCGGAACAAAAGCATGGATGGAGTGTTTGTGTGAACTAATATAAATTCAAAGTAAACATCATTACATAAAAGGGTACGGTCTTTTTTTTTTTTAGTTTTATTCATTTCAAACGGGCCAGATCCGGCCCGCGGGCCGTAGTTTGCCCACGGCTGGTCTAAGGGCAAATATGAGAAAGGCAAGTTTCTTGGCCATGTTGATAAGGGCTCACAGAATGCTTCTGCATACACTGGCCAGCAAGTGGGCTTTCTAAAAAGTACAAATTGACACAGTGGCTTACATATGTGTGCTAACTCTAGCACCTCCCATTGTGTCAGGCATACAGTTGGTGTTCAATAATGTTGGCTGAGTGAATGAAGCAGGCCATCATCACTCCTGCCTGACCCACTCACTGTGGCAGTCTGTGCTTTCCTGGATGGATAAGTGAATAGGCTTCCTGATCTAGTATTGCACAGCATGGGCCCTCCCATGTTTTTTCCCTGTAATCCTAAGGCCATTTTATTTTTGCTTTGTGGCAGAAAGAGAATTATAGTGTCCAGTGATTTGGCTTTGCCATTTCTGTAAGAACTTTCCTTTAAGCAACTCTGTATTCCACTATCCTGTTTTAGAGAAGGCTTATACAGAAGATACATACCAGTTTTTACTAAGATGCCCAGCATGCCAACATCCTGAGCCCCACCAACATCATCCCTGCAATCCTAGAAAGCACAAAGAAAGCATTTAGTACAGGGTCTTCAATTTACTTGCCAATAAAACCCTACCAACCAACTGATTTGACTTATTAGGCTGGGATGGCCAACTGTAACCCCATGTTTGTTTTTTAAATGAAAGACAGAAAGATGTAAAAATGGGTAAATTCACATGTAACAGTCTGAGGCAGCACACCATTTGGAAAGGGAAGTGTCACAGAGGTGGACGGTGTACAACAGAGCAATCATTCTAGTACCAAACACAGAGAGCACAGTCACAGTTCTTCAATGTTGCCATGTGTATGCATCGATCTCCTCTTAAAACAGATCATGGAAAAAGCATCCTATCCATTTGGCAGCTTTTAAGGTGGATGATCCAACTGCAAACAGTGAATGAACTAGACTCAGAAGAAAGCTTTTCTGCCGCCCATCTAATATATTATCCTTACTTTCCATCTGATTGTCCCTAACAGCCGCAATCAAGTCAATTCAGTATGCTTTGTGGGACTGTCTGATATTCACTTCACACTTGGGAACAACAGATCAGTTAGAAAAGGAGGTCCTCTTTCCAATTCTTACTCAAGATGGGGATGAATATGCTTGGTTGATTGTGATGATAAACACAAGGTAATAAAATCCAAGGGCTTGGAGAAACATCAAGAAAATCAATCCTGCTATCACATATCTATAAGCAGGATTCATTCAGATCGTGCCTGAAGAAAATACTTTTCCATTAAAGTCATTAATATTATTCAACAACAGCCCTTGGAAATGAGTCCTAGAATGTCAAAATCTTCATTCAAAGTCTGACTTAAAACCTTTTCTGTTGCATCTAAACTTTCCCTGTTGAAGCAGTGAAAATGGGGGAGAGGAAGAGAAAGAAGAAGGAAGGTGGGGAAAGGTGGACAAAGAAAGGGAGGGAAGAAACCGCGCCTCTCTGGGCTAACAAAGGACCCTGCATGAAGCTGCTACTGCATGCCTTTCCTGCCTGACACTGTCCCAAAACCAGTATCTCCCAGGATAAAAAACTCTGATAACCACCTTTCAAACACATACCTGCCTAGGAAAGTCAGATAAAGACTTGACTATAGATGTGACTGAAAAGATGGCTTCTGAAAAATACCACATGATCTCACTCATTCATGGATAATAGAGACCATTATAAACTTTTGAACAATAATAGATACAGAGGCAGAGCTGCCTCAAACAGATTGTCAAACTGCAGCAGGAAGGCCGGGGAGGGTTGGGGGGCAGGAGGTAGGGGGGTAAGAGATCAACTAAAGGACTTGTATGCATGCATATAAGCATAACCAGTGGACATAAGACATTGGGGGATAGGGGAGGCTAGGGGACTGTCTAGGGCGGGGGGATAAAATGGACACATATGTAATACCCTTTGTAATACTTTAAGCAATAAAAAAAAAAAAAAGATGGCTTCTGAAAACAATACCAAGTTGAATGACTATCCTATTCAGTGTGAGGTGAACACACCCCGAAGTGGAAGAGGGTGCCAGGAGAACCGTGAAACACTTGCACCATCACAAGTTAGGAAAGCAAGGGATCTACAGTTTGTCTTGGCAGGGTCCAGAGCCTCAAGTTTTACTTCCAGCTGTGCCACTAATTAGCTGCAGGAATGGAGGCGTGCAGACTTCCGGCTCCAGGCTTCAGTTTCCCAGTCAAAAATGGAGAGATTTGGACCAGACAATCTTGATGGCCCCTTCCAGCCGAACACGTTATTCTTTATAACTAAACTACTAGTAATCACTGCCACCTATTTAACACAGGCAGTGTGCTTTCTAGCTCTTTCTCCCTCTCGGCACACGTGGATGTCTCCCCAGGACACTAGAGTGAACTGACAAGGTGCTCACGGCCAGAGCCTCCAAATGCCCAGACCTGCCACTCAAAGGGCTGAGGCAACCAATGCCTGTAGCTATTTGTGACACATTGGGAAGTTCTTCCATGCAGCATTTACTAAGAAAAAAATCAATAATGGTAGGATTCTTTAGGTATAGGTTGTTCCCTGCATAAGTAACATTAGAAAAATCTAAATTTCTGTAAAGGTTTCTTTAAAAAGACATATCAAGCATTTGAATGATTTGCATTTAATGGTCTTTTGAATTATATATATCTCATCATACTATAGAGACTGTCAGAACTAATCAAAATTTCAGTTCTTTAGAGGAATACCACTAACATCTACGTGAAGCCTGACTTAGAGGCAGCCATTTCTCTCCACCTGATGCATCAGCAGCAGAGTCTGCTTGGGTGTGAAGCAGCGCTTCCAAGCTGGCTCAGCCCAGCACGGCAGGTGAGCTCAGTGCATTTCCGGGGCTCTTCTACTTACGTCTCCTATCATGACGGCCTCCTCAGGTTCACAGCCAGTGCCCCGCAGTGCTTCCAAAAAGAATGTTTTCTCTGGTTTTCCTACTACTGTGGCTTTGGTATCTGTGGCATACTCCAAAGCAGTCACAAATGGTCCGGGCCCCAGGGCTAAGCCATCTTTCCTCTTGTAATACCTGGCTTTGTGGATTGCTATCAGAGGTGCCCCATCCAGGAGTAACCTAAAGAGACAGAGAAAATGGAGATTGGCTAAAAGCAAAGCCTTTATGACTGGAAAAGAATGTCAGACTTACAAAGTGGTTTTACAGTATTCACATTCACAGAAACAAAGAGTTTCTTATTAACTTTTAATGACTTGCTATCTTCTAATGAATTCTCTAAGAACTGCTGGGAATTAAATTCAAATACACTGAAGAAAGGTGATAGATTATTAAATTTGGGATTGCTTCAACCTTTTACCTTTAGAGGTTTCAGACACTTTGCCGGAATCACCAGGGAAAGAGAATTAAGAGAAGTAAAGCTAAATAAGACACTCAAGGGAAGAAGCTTAACTTAATGAGACAAGTTGTTTCAACCTTCCCTAATGTAAGCAGGAGGCTCTTGAGCCCTTTCCAGTATCACAACTAACTCCAAATACCTGACTTCCTGTTTCCTCTACTCCAACATTTAAGTTTCTTTCTAATTCAGGAATTTAACACAGCATTTTACAAACGCTTTCTGCTTGTACCTTTACGTCTTCATTCTACCTTTTGACTGCTTCTGACATTACTTTGCAAATCAGGCCATCTTCCCTGAAGAACACACCAACAAGGTTTAAGGGAGAGCCTTTACTGCCAATCTCTTTTGTTCTGATATTAGGATAATTATTCTCATACCAAATAAAGGGCACAAAGCATTTTACCATTAATTTGACAACCAAACTCTACATATAGTTAAGAATCCACATTAGTGACTTAGGCAAAACGTAAAACAAATCCAAGAACCCCCCCCAACAACTTCTTAATACCACCAACCCCCAACCCCATCCAAAAATACCTGCCATCCATCCCAACAGTGCAGCCTGTAGTCTCACAGCAAGAGAGTCACATGAATATTATCATCTAATGGAATGCAGGACATGATACACTTAAACTGCTTTTAACCAATGTAATGAATGATCTCACAAAGCTTAATTTACTCTAAGCCATCTACTTGGTTAAAATATTTAGTATGTCCATCGAGGAAGAATTCATCACATCTTACCCCTCACAATTATGAGTAATTAAGCGCTCAGCTATGAAAGTGCTAAATTATTTTTGTCGGTGGGCATGGAAATGCCTTCCTGTGGGAGATGCAGAATTCAGACATTTATGATTAAATATTTTATTAAGTAAAAACCAATACTGGACTATTACAGGGCCTTTCTGTTAGTTACTACAAATTACTCACAGCACAGGACAGATCCCTCAAATTTATTCACTAATATTAATACAAGTTTATTTCTTAAAGCTGACCTTAAAATCCAGCTGTTAGGAAACCTGAAAAAGCCACTATGCTGGCCTTAAAGAACCACAGCTGATAGCAATGAGATAATAATGGGTGATTTATCTATCTCCCTTCTGTCACCCGCCCCCAATCCCATTTATTTGCTACTCTACCACGGAACTGGAATTCTTTATGCAACAGACCTCAAAATTGCTTTCCACTTACATAGCTAAACTAAAAACTCATTTGATTTGGCTTTGTTAATATTTTATTATGTATTAACTGGGGATAAGACTTATCAGCCTGATTGATGTGTGTACTCAATTCCCAGGCAGTGCTTTAGTGCCTTCCCTGAAAGGGCTGAGACTGTGGGCTCCTCTACATGTCTCTAAGTGGAAACTGGACTACACGAGGCTGGAAAAGATAGGCATCTCTCAGGGAAGTGGTTCCTGCTTCTGTCATCCTCTGCACAGCATAAGCTTTACCGAGTCTTTCAAGAGCCAACCATATTCAGGACAGACTGAAAGGTAAACATTTTCTAGGACACAGATTAGAAGATCTCTTATAGTTAAACCTTTTTTGAAATATCAAAAATAGACACCCCAATACTTGGGAGTGTTTGTATACTTACCAGATAGGGCAGCGAAGGGTTGGCTGTTTTTGACACCAGAAATAATGTATCAGAAGGAAATATTCTGATAATTTTCTGTCTATACCTAACTATAAACCCACCGAAGCACAAGAAGCAAGGAAAAAGGGGCACAAAGGACTGATGCAAAAAACTCTGGCTGTGATTTCCGTGTGGGCAACGGAACAAACTGAAAAATCCTAGTGAGGGCAGGGCCACAATATAAACACCTCAGGCAAACATCTAGTCCAGTGGTTCTCAACCTGGGGCAGTTTTGCTCCCAGGGACATGTGGCAGTGCCTGCAGACTTTTCTGGTTGTCACGCTGGGGAAAGAGGGGTGCTACTCGAATCTGGTGAGAGGAAGCCCAGGAGGCTGCTAACCAGCCTACAATGCACAGTACTGCCTCCACCCAGCCCCACAGTACTTTCTGGTCCAGAATGTAGTGTCCACACTCTTTAAAATAGGTCACAGCAAATCACTTCATGTGGGCCTAGGCTTCTTATTAATGAAGGGACTGAACTATCAGGGTTTTTCAACCTTAGCACTACTGCCATTTTGACACACTGGGCTCTATCAAAATTAAGAACATCATGTTCTCATACTATTAAGAGCACAAAAAGGCAGGAATGAGATATCTGCAACATATATATGTGTGTGTGTGTGTATATATATATATAAAATCTCCAACCAAAAATATGTATATATAATGAGTTCCATCATATACACAAATCAGTAAGAAAAATACAACCCAATCAGAAATGGTAAAAGATTTGAATGGGCACACTGCAAAGAAGTTATCCACTGGTCAATAAGTACATGAAAATGTTTCAAGAACATTACTCATCAGGGAAACACAAACTAAAACCCAGTAAGATACCACTATACACACCAAACAGAATAACTGCAATTTCATAGACTGGTTAGAGACTGGTGGGAATTTGGAGCAACTGAAACTCACACTCATAGCCAGTGGGAATATATCACTTGCTATAATGACTTTAGGAAATTGTTTAGCAATATTTACTAAAGCTAAACAAGTACTTATTACCCAGTAATTTCACTACTCTACAGACCTAAGAGAAATGAGCACATATAACCCCCCAAAAACATGTTGAAGAACATTCATATCAGCTTTATTCATAACAGCCCAAACTGGAAACCATCCAAATGAACAATAAATAAATTGTGGGACAGTCTACTACACAATACAATAGGCTACTACACAACAAAAATAAAGAAGAAACAAAACAACAAGAAAGTACTGCTATCCGCAACAACTTGGATAAATCTCAACAACAGACAAAAAATTATACAATTGTATGATTTAATTCATATGAAGACCAAGTCCTGACAGGAGTCAGTAGTGTTACCTTAAGGAAAGAGTGTACTACAAGGCAGGAAGCCTTCTAGGGTGCTGGAAATGTTCTAGATCAGGGGTCCTCAAACTTTTTAAACAGGGGCCAGTTCACTGTCCCTCAGACCATTGGAGGGCCGGACTATAGTTTAAAAAAAACCTATGAACAAATTCCTATGCACACTGTACATATCTTATTTTGAAGTAAAAAAACAAAACTGGAACAAATACAATATTTGTATTTGCATGTGGTCCGCAGGCCGTAGTTTGAGGACCCCTGTTCTAGATCTTGATCAGAGGGTTACACAGGCATACTTATGTGTAAAATGCTATTGAATGTATACTGACAATTTGTGTACTTTATGTGTATGTTACACATTAATAAAAAAGTAACAATATATTTATGTGGCTTTTTTAACGGCAAGTTTTATTTAGAGTAGCAAAAGTTGCCTTGATTGTACAACAATATCCCCATATGAAAAAATAAGAGCAGTTAGTGACAGATATTAAACTCAATTCTGTATTCTGTGGATTTCAAATAGGCATAAAGTGGGTCTCTTGCATATACTAATGAATACTTTAAACAACTCAAGTTCTTAATTCTTAAACAATTTCTTATGGTCTGGACTTGAATTAAAAAACTGCAAAGCAGCAGTCAGCACTTTCAAAATGGATAAAGCCCACAGAAATATTTCTAATGTGAGTCCTGCTGTCACACTGTTCTGGAATTCCTCATGCTCAGGGCTCTAAATACTTAGAAAAGATTCAGGAGTTACTATACAAATGCAGTAATAATTGAAGTCGTAGTTGTTGACCTTTTTTCTCCCTTTCTCTTCTTTCCTTTCTAAGGAATTGAATATATTGGAGCAATTAACTTTTAATTTTTTTCTTGAGGAGATGGGAAAAGAAAAGCAATTTAATATTCCACAGGAACCATTTATGGTGATAAGAATCTCTTCCTGAAAAACAAAAAAATTAATTTCTGTACATCTCTAAGACTTTGCAAGGATTCTCACACCTTGTAATAGTTATAGGAAGAAATCATTAACTTCAAAATTAAGTCATTTGAATCTTCAAAACATTGCTCTTAAGCAGCCTTTCACCTCTTGCATTTAAATGTGAAAGTTGTGATGTTACTTATTTTCAGATAGAATAACTTTTTTTATTTTTTTGCTAATCCTCACCCGAGGATATTTTTCCATTGCTTTTTAGAGAGAGTGGAAGGGAGGGGGAAAGGCAGAGAGAAACATGGATGTGAAACAGACATATTGATTAGTCGCCTCCTGCATGGGTGGGCCTGCGTGCCCTTGACCAGAATGCAACCCAGGACCTTTCAGTCCTCGGACCATTGCCCTATCCACTGAGACAAACTGGCTGGGGCTAGAATAACATTTTAAATAAGCTTAGAAGCTGGAGAGCAGTTGCTCTTTATTTTAAAAACTTGAACTTTTCCTAGGTTAAGCTACTCCATGCAGTTTTTCCTCAAAATTCCTTTGATTCAATAACTACACAAGGCCCCACTGTACTTCTGAAAAAAATTTAAGGAACAAACATAAATATTGCTTAACGTTCTCAAAAGGTTTTTTTTGTTTTGTTTTGTTTTTACGTTAACTTCAAAAACCTGGAAATAACCAACAATAAGAAACATATGGCTATTCAACTAATTGCACTTCTGAGAGTGGAATATTCTGTGGGAATCAAACATGTTTTAAAAGAATATTTAAGAATGTGGAAAAACATGCACAACATATTGTTGGGTTTTTAAAAAGCAAATTACCACATAGTATACATACACAGTATATATAGATTCTCATTTTTGCCTAAATAGATATGTGCATGGAAACAAACTAGCTAGGTGGAAGGATTACAGATAATTATGTTTATTCTCTTTTGAGCATATACCATTTTCCATAATGAAGACATATTACTTTTGTGCTGCGATATATTTTTTTAATATTGTTAATGCTAAGTTCAAATTAAATTATTAAGTGATCTGCTTGCCCAGGTAGCCTTCCTCCTAATAGAGATCATTAAATTTAGTTATAAATGGTCCATTACAAAAATGCTCAAGCTTTGGGCTTCTAACTCAGGTTAGAAGATGAAAAAGACCTTGCTACAAGCTAGTACCAAAACTGTGAAAATGAATACACCAGAGCTATAGATATTCATATTGATGAATCATACAGTATTACTAGGGAAGAAAGCAAATTGAAGTATAAAACATGCAAAATAATACCATATACTGTCTAGAAATACCTACATATGTGTTACAGTATTTAAAAAATGCATGTAAAAGATAAACACAATTAAGGATCCTGATTACGTTTGGGTCTTGGGTGATAAAATTGAGGAGGGATATCAAATATGTCAATAGTTTATATTTCTGGAACTGCTTGATAGGCCTAAGGATGTTTGTTATATTCTCCCTTGTATATTTTAGTAGTAGGTAAAAGGAAAAAGACACCAATGGCTCTTAGGATTTAAATGTTTTCTAGAATCCCACACCCCAAATCATGTCTATTTCTTCTCTAAAATCAGTCTCTAGTATGCAGTGTTCTCAATTCATTCCAACATTTAGGACATATTTGTAGCCAGACTGTACTATGCATTTTGGGGCCTACCCATTTGAAATAGTAAATAAGAGGCAGTGTAATGTGGAAGGCTAATGCATCCACCTGAGGGCAATATGCCCCTGAAGCTGGTGTTCAAGGCAGCTATGCCATGGGGTTTAAAATCCAATGTTTATTCTCATTATCAACCTGAACAGTAATTTAACTAATCGGTGGTTCATTTGAGATGTCTATATTTGCCACTTACAATCCAAACAGCTGTAGTCACTGGTTGGAAGGCACAGTCTCTGTGGAGACATCAATATGCAAAGAAGGGCAAGACCTAAAATCCTTCTGTTAACTCTCCACCCAGCTGTTAAGTGCATTTGTGAAATTAGAGTTGACCCATAAGTGCACTGTAATGCTTCAAAGTGTAGTGTTTAAAAAAATCAATATGGTTAGGGAAGTGTACTAATTAGACAGCATCCGAGCAATTATAAAGTCAGTATTATGTCAACATACATTTTTATTACCCTGAGTCCAGCATTCATCTAAGGCAGAGACCTATTAAATATGTCCTTCCCAAATTACCAGCTAAAATCAATCAATACCTTCTCCTTGAATTCTGTGGTTAAAGAAATGAATAAAAGATAGTAGGAGTAAATTAGGAAGTAGGTTCTCTATTTCAAATGAAAAACAATTTTAGTATAGTTATAAACCTTACTTAATGAGCAGGTGATATTATATTGCCCCCACCCCAACCCCAAGAAGCCACAGCAGAATAACTGAAGTAGGTGAAGCAAAAGAAATTTTAACACCACATACCCCCACATATATCTTCACGCATGTGGCACAGCAGTGGACCTCCAGATAATAACTACAGTAAGCGGATACTGAGCAACTATAAAAAGCGAGTATGTTACTTTTAAACAAAGGCTACACTATCACAATGACTAAGTGCATTAAGTAGCTGTAGTTTCCATTAACTGAGGCTCTAAAATGCACACAGGGAAAAAGGTGCTATTTCTGGCCACACAGATTGTACACGAGGACAGCCATTTTCAAGATTAACAGTAAATAAGGTGCCCAGATGTGTGAGCCTTGTAGTGATTCTAGGACATATACATCAAGAAATGAATTCTACATCAAATATAAGTTAGAATGATTCTTGTAGATCTTTTTACTGTAAAAAAATGATGTTTTTATAGCAGTCTTGAAGTTAAATACCAAAAATTTATCAAACCACTAAAAAAATTTTTTTAAAAAAATATATTTTATTGATTTTTACAGAGAGGAAGGGAGAGAGGGAGAGAGCTAGAAACATCGATGAGAGAGGAACACCGATCAGCTGCCTCCTGCACACCTTCTACGGGTGATGTGCCCGCAACCCAGGTACATGCCCCCGACCGGAATCAAACCCAGGACCCTTCAGTCCGCAGGCCGACGCTCTATCCACTGAGCCAAACCGGTTTCGGCAAAAAAATTTTTTAAGCTATTACAATGTATCCCTATGTAATATTTTGAGCTACTTGTCATAAATTCAAAGACAAATTATACTGTTTAATGGTCTGACAAGCAATAAAAGACAACATAAGATGAAAGATGAGAAAAATCCAAGGGAAAAAGTCACAATCTCACTCTAGAGCAGATTTGTAGGTAAATTCTGATCCAGTTTATCTTAAGAAGTATAAGAACCAGTATGCAGTCTTCCCTTTGTAAGCAGCAGCAAAAGTTCATAAAAGTGAAATGCACACATAACTGAAGATTTGTAACATTATATGTGTTAGTTGTGTTTCCCCCAGTTTCAACCAACAGCCATTGGAACATCTCCATGTAGATGTCCCACATGCCAAACAGCCCCAACCTGAACTGATTGCCTCCCGGACCCCACACAGGGAGTTCTCCATCACAGGTGCCCAGGTGAGAATATGATGTCCTCCCTGCCTCACTGTCCTTCACTTCCTAACCTCAATCACTTATCAAGTCATGTTGATACGACCTGAATCCCTACTATTCCAGGTCAGACTACCATGATCACTCATAGAATAATTTCTTTGAAAGTATGGTCAACTGTGTAGATTTTTTTCCCATAGCATGGATTCGCACTGGAGGAAGAGTCCCGTTTACTGTTTTTGGGGGCATTAGCCTTGATGCTGTCTTCTGTCAGAAATTAGCATAGTCAGTGGAGAATCATAGGAGTGATGATAAAAGATAAAACTGCTAGCTTTAACAGATGCAATTTTATTATGGATTTCTGCTCCAGAATACTGAGTCTATAAAAAACAAACCAAGATCACCACATTTTAACATATTGATAATTTTTTTAAACTAAGCAGGATAGTAATAAATGATATTTGATGTTGATCTTGAAGTGATTTTGAAGATGTGCGTCCTCATGTATAATCTAGGTGGCTAGAAAGTAAAACATGTATAACCTTACATGACAAAGACTCAAGAAGGGAAAGAAGGAAGTACTTGATGAGATGAAAAATAAATAGCTAAATAGTTAGAGACTCACCGGAATGCTTGATTCAGAGTTTGATAATGAAAATGTTCTGGTGCCAATCCTATGACCACAGCATTAGGATCACTTGTTTGTATTCCTGGGAATGAAAAAAATACATGATTGTTGAAAAATGCAATTAAAAGTAATGTTACATTTTATAATAAAGAGTTTTAGTAAATAGAGTATAAATTGATATTGTAGCAATAATCTGAAGTTTACGAGATTATCCTGCCCTGTGCACTTTGGCAATAGTGAAAGAGATATTTAAAGAAAGAAAAAGTTCTCCTAGTATTTTTGCATATTTCTTTTGTATGGTTTTACAGCTACTCAGTAACTAGAATCTGAGTTGAAACTTGTAACCTGATGTTCTCAAACAAGTAATTTCTAACTTCAAAAAGCTTTACTGATTACAATCAACAAGAACAGCCATGAATTCCCTATGAGCTATCAGATCAATAGCAACTGATGAGGAAATGAAAATCTAAGAGGCAAGGGAAATTAGACACTCTAATTGACAGTTGAGGTTAACATATTCATGATAAACATGGAATGCACTGTAGATTCTGCTATTTTCTACATAATGTCTCATCTACTTTTAGTGTCACAAATATTACTCCATAATTTAAGCATATTTTAAGGCCTTGGTACCTGACCAAACAAGTTTATTCACCAACACAGTTACTAAAAGTCAGCCGGTTCTGTAGATTATCCATATGCCAATTCCTATTTGCCTCTCTTACTGCTTGCCTTAAAGCATTTTTCATATCAATTCCACCAAAATGTAAGGGAAAGAAATAGAAAGAATAGATATCCAGCTTTCCCATTTCCTCCTTACCAGCATCCATGAGTACTGAGTAATTGGTTAAAGTTTGCTGAAGGAAAAAAACCAAATTGTTGGCTATAGTTAGAGTTAAAGTTTTTTGTGTTCCTTCTATTATCTCCATCTACCACTAGCAAAGATATTCAGTAACAGCAGAAAAATTTCTTGCCTTTCAAAAACCCATCTACTTTGGGTATTTTCATGTATATAAGCACGTTCTAAGTATTATCCTGGACTGACTGACAAAGATTTCTTCCTTATCAGGGACTCTGCTTATGTATCCCAACTGCAGCTCACTGCCAATACAACTACAATCTTAACCTTCTTCAAATAAAGTCAAAACAGAAAAACCTGATTAAAATATTGTGTTATAGTGCTTCAGCTAACCCAGAGATACAAATACACTGTAGATGCATTTAGATCATTGTTTGTACAGCCATCACATGGTTTTATACCCATTTTTCTATACTGTATCATTTCACGCTGAGTATCACTTACAAAACAAAGCAATGTGGCAAAGTCTCATAAAAGTAGGATATTTTTCCAGAGTTTATTAATTTTCCCAAAGAGAAAAGTTTGATTGAAATATTTCATAATCACTGCTAAAATTTCATACTATACAGAATGACACCTATTTTTAAATAAGGCAATTATGGATTATCTCATTTAATCAAATTAACATAGTAGCTCTTGGATTAAGGATTATAATACTCAAAGTAATTTTGACCTGTGCTTTTTCAAGCTGTGGGTCATGATTCATTAGATTACAAAACTAATTTGGAGAGCTCTAAGCAGCATCAAAATCAAATAAACAATTAAGTAAACCAAACAGAAAATAGAGTACTTCTCATACAGTAAAAGTACTGTTTAGCATATATATATAAACACACACATATATGTACTAGGTTACTATGTAATGTGTTTCACTTACTGTGGAGTGCAGTCAGAACAGGTTTGAGAAACACCAATTTAGATTCAAGAGATCTGTTGACCCTTTCAATAATAATTGGAGGAATCTGAATACATCTAAATATTCAGTTTAAGAATGACTTATAAGAAGATATGAAGAACCAATTTTTAAATCTTTGCAATTTCCCCTACCTTTGAAATCAGGTAGTGCCCGATCGTCAACTAGCAGCAGGGGCCGGACTTGTTTCTGCTCTACTAAATTTCTGGCTGCAGTCAGAGAAGTAAATATCTCATCTTCAGAGATATCAAACTCCAACTTTTTCAACCTTTCCAGTAAGTCTCTCTTGCTCTCTTTGGTTGTATTGGTCACAAACCTAACCATTACAGAAGTACCACGTAACCTGGAAAAGTAAAATTCAGAAGTCAACAGGCAGTTTTTACATTCTAGCCCTGTAAGATCTCCTAAATTGGTAGCACTTGCCAACAGTCATAAAATGAAGGCTAAGTCACCAAGTAAATATTTTTATTACCAATAATCTTTTTGTTATCTACCCAGAATTGCTTACATATTATCCACACCATCTGGACCACTTTATTGCCAAAGGCTACAAAGTAAATTATAAAAGCTGTGACTACCTTTTTGAGGACTTCTGTACTTCAACTGAATTCTACTGCAGGGATTTAGCAAATAAGTGAAAAAAACAAACACAAAGCTTAGTAACCACTATACTCACAGAATATGAGAGGTAAAAGTTACCTTAGAGATTATCTACTTATGCAACCCTCTCTTCTTTTTTAAAAATATATTTTATTGATTTTTTTTACAGAGAGGAAGGGAGAGGGACAGAGAGTTAGAAACATCGATGAGAAACATCAATCAGTTGCCTCCTTCACACCCGCTACTGGGGATGTGCCCGCAACCAAGGTACATGCCCTTGGCCAGAAACGAACCTGGGAGCCTTCAGTCCACAGGCTGACGCTCTAGCCACTGAGCCAAACTGGTTAGGGCGCAACCCTCTCTTCTTATAGAGGAGAAAACTGAGGCCTAGGGGAGCTAAGTGACTCGCTCGGCTTCATGCTGCTGGGTAGCAGCAGAGCTGAGACAAAGACTCCAACCTCTGTCCTGGTGCAGGACTTGATGTCCTTCCTATACTAGAGAACAGAGGACACCTCAAGATGTTGTTCTTCCTTCTTAGACAATCAGAAGATGTGCTACCAAATCTATAAACAGAATCTATCTGGACAATCTATCAAAGAAAATCTTTTTTTCTTTTTAAATAGAATGTGTTTTTCCCTTGAACTACTTACATATAGAATTGTTTTGATTCTGTGATCTGTTTTCGGAACCTAAACTGGTAATCAGGTATCAGAGAAAGAATTCATGACCGTCTAGCTTTCTTTGAAATTGAAAATTATTTTCTTGGTCCTAAAGTGTTTTAATCCAAAATCTAAAAATAATTTTAATTTAGCTACAATTAAAATTTTATATTAATACCCTATTGCTTTTTATTTTGTGCCTGCCCCAGATGAATACAAGGTGGAAAAGCACTAAACGCAATTGGAAACAAGCAAGCAAATAAAACAGAAATAGAGATTTTTAAGTATTCACCCAAAGAACATTAACTAAATTTGTAAGATTAAATAGTTCACTGTAATCATGATTGCCTCTATAATATCTGTGTGGTAGCTTTTCTTAAAAACACATTAAACTTAGTGGTTTATCTCTCAAAAGAAACTGATTATTTCAATGTAACTATTATCCTAAAAATGAACAAGTAGAAGTACTGAAATAACCATATCATTTTTAATGAGGATTAAAAAAAAACTTTTCTTTTTACTGGTCCCTCAACTTCCCTTAGCCTGTTTGTTTCTATAGAAACCAAAACCAGCCGTAACAGTACAGTGATGTCTCTGGATGTGTGAGTCATAGGCTCCTGGCCCTCCAGAATGGCAGGCTCAGAGTTACAGAGCTACTTAGTGGTGTCATTCATTGTTCACCAAAAATAAAAAGATTTTTCTTCAATACAAAGTAAAAAGCTTATCTTTAAAGCAGTAAAAGCTCCTTTCCCAGAGAAAGCCTAATTAAGAGACAGTGTCAAGGAGTCAAGAGAAAGTCCAACTGTGCATCTGATTTTCTTTTGGCTTTAACCAGTTAACGGCCATGATATTTTGAATTTAATTAAAAAAGATCCTCCACTTGCGTCTATAGATGCTTATGGCGTACAAATGGTTAAACAACATGTTGTCCACCTATAACATGAACATCATGACTCCTAACTAAACTGATAGCTTCCAAATGGTGTCTACCAGATACAGAAGTCTCTTTATATTTGTTGATTCCCCAAATGGAAGGTAAGCTCCTTGAGAGAATGCAAGCAAGATGTGTGTCAATTTTTGGCCCCTATACCTGGTGTTGTGATACTAGTCACTAGATTTTCTGAATAACAGCACACTGCGACTATTTTAAGGTGGGAAAATAATAAGCACCACATGCTAAGTGTTGCTGACTTTGAAAACTTCTCTAAATAATTTTAATATGAAGGTATTTAATACCAATTAGTAGTACTATTGTACTGATGATTTTTTTTTTCAGGACACTCAGAAGCAAACATTCACATTCAGTTTACTTTAAAAAAAATATATGTTTTTATTGATTTTGAGAGAGAGGAAGGGAAAAGAATAGAGACAGAAACATCAATGAGAAACCTCATCCATTGGCTGCCTCCTGCACGCCCTCTACTGGGGATCGAGTACGCAATCCAGGCATGTGCCCCAACCGGGTTCAGTGACCTCTTGGTTCCTGGGTCTACACTCAACCACTGAACACACTGGCCGGGACATGTTCAGTTTGCTTTTTAACAAGCTTTTACTACATATCCCTGTTTGTATCTAGACATGTTAAGTACTGTGGTTGGTACATCAGAAATATAGAACAGTTGCTAACCTTCAAAGGCATTAAATTTCATTAATAGAAATAATTCTAAAATTTCAAGTCCCTCAATTAAACTTTATTTGAGCTGCTGCACACTTAATGCGAGATCTTAGGTGAAAGGGCAGTGGGCAGCACTATATCTTTGTGTATGTGTGTGTTTCACTTTGTGATTCCTTCATTGGTGATTTTTCCAATGCTATTTAATTTACATTTTAGATTCTTGAGTTTTCATTCACGAATGTACATTACTTAGAAAAAAACATGCACACAAAGAACAAAAGAATAGATCAAAGGCCAAGCCTAATAAAGGCTTAGAGAACAATGTTTGGAAGATATTACAATGCATACATCTTCTAGCTAAACCCAAGGCAGTTTCTGTATACATGGTAAGCTGGTGAAATGCCATCTTAAGGTCATCCATTCAGCTAATGACCTGCCTTGGTAAACGGCACTTACAAACATATTTGTCAGCTGAACCTGGAGGAGAGCTTGCCTTTTAAGAGCTTCCTGTGCGCCTGGCACAGCTGCGTCTTCAATGTGAAGCGTGCCATTGAGATCTACCAAAACAGCTCTTAACGCACGGCGTGCTGCCATCCTCCACTCCCTAGGAGAGAGCAAATGAAATTAAAAATACAGTTTAGGAAACAATGGACAATTAAAAACTGGGGAAGTCTTCAAAAATATCATTCATATCCAGAAAGATACAGCTTAGTGTTAAGCTGTTTCTTTTGGGGGAAAAAATGTGTTTTTTAAAATCAAAATCCAAAATTTGACTCATAAAACTTTCATAAGGCTTATTTAAAAAAATCTTTAATTAAAACTAGAAAGGGAAAAGGGGGAGTTAATAAAAAGAAGTCACTATTTACTTTCAGATTTCTTAAAATAACTCTTTGGCTTAACAATTTATTCATTTATTTTAGTTCTAAATATGAGAATAATACACTCTGAAGAATGGGTGTATGGGAGCCCTAATTCATTGGCAACATCTTTTTCATCTTTGGTTCTATGTGATGACAATGTTCTAATCACTCACCTCCACTATTATAACCTGAAATGACATATATGGCCAAGGAGCTAACAGTATGTACAAGCTACTGTATGAGTTGACCCGTAACAGTATGTCAGGAAATACTGTCCTTACTTAGTAATATAAAAGTTCCTTTTGCATATTTTCTCTTCAAAATTTATTGTGAGCTATATCCTAAACACAGTGGAGTATAAGGTATTGGTTAAAAATAAAAATAATGAAATATTTCAGACATACAAAAATGTATCAAGGATAATACAACCACCTCTATTACCCATCATCCAACTTCAGAAATAAAACATCACAGATGGAGTTGGAGACCTCTGTGTACCTTTCTTTGACCTAATTTTCCTTATTCCTCTCACCAAGTAAATCTACTCTCTTGATTTTGATCTGTTGAAAGCTTTGTATTAATGTTATTCTTTCTACTCTTAGTGATTTGCCTTACCAGTCCACATCATGTTTGGAAAATGTCTCCATGTTAACACATGTGGCAACTGTTCATTCACTTTCACTACTGTGTATAGAATTCCATTGTATGGATATATACTTTATTTGTCCTCCTGATCATGAATATCTTGCACATCTATATATATAAAAGAGTAATATACAGATTGACCAAACGGCAGAACGACCCCTTGACCAGTCACTGAGGCACACTGACCACCTCTTGTTCCCACACTCGCCAGCCTCCCCCCAACCGCCCCCCCCCGTTCCCCAGCCAGCAGGCTCCGATCACCCAATGGCAAACAGGGAACCAGGGGTGGGAGCGGGGCGTGGCTGGCTGCTGGCAGCGGGGAGATGGCCCTAATCACAGGCCAGGCCTAGGGGCTGTACCGCACACGAATTTCATGCGCTGGGCCTCTAGTTTTATTATAATGAAGAGTACCTCTTTGAACCTCCTTGTACACATCTCCTGGTGAACATAGATGTGAACATTTCTCTGGGGTCTTGCTGAGTCTGAGGGTGTGTGCTCATCTGTATCCTTACAGGAATGTTGCCATGTTGCCAAGTTGCTGTATTCACTTGTATCTTTACAGGGCAAATGTTTACTGAGCACGTCCTATGTGTCAAGCCCTATGTGACAATGGACATGGAGGAGCCATCTCCTTTAAACTGAGAAGCAGACGGAAAGGGGGGAAAGAACCTGGGAGATATAAATAGGTAATTACCACAAATTTGTGGAGAATCTATGGAATCTATGGGAAAAACTTAATAGAATCTTACCTTGGGACAGATGGTGGGTGGAGGGAAGACATCTCTGTCCTAGCTAGGTCCCTATGAAATGTGATCGTGGAGCTTGGGACTGACAGTCAGTAGGCTCAGGTGGTGGTCCTCATTCTGCCTCAAATTCATTGTGTGACTTTGGCCAAGTGTCTTCCCTGCTCTGGTCCCAGGTTTCTCTTCAATATATGGGTTTTTGGAGGCAAGATAAAGTCTCAATCTTTCTCCTCTGCCTACAGTCTCGAGATCTAGGCTGGAAGACTAAATGTATCACATTACCCCCCGAAGCCTTGATTTTCTCCTTTTCAACATGGGCTTGCTAATCCCTGCTGCTGGTCCATCTCCCAAAGCTGCCAGGAATACGCTAGATTGCCCAGTGTTGTCCTCTAAGTGTTGTTCTTTCTTAGGTGCATTCCTTTCAGGGGGCAAAGATGCTCCCTGAATTCCCTCCCAGCTTATAGCTTATAGCTCCTTTGCTCCTCCCATTTCCCAAACTCTTTTCCCACTCCAAGTCAGTCATCTCTGCATATAAGGTATAAATATAAAAACTAAATAAACCCATGGTAAGCCCCAGAACTCAAAATATACTTCTTCAGTTGGCCTCGCTGTAGGCCTTGACTACTTCTACCCCATAATGTATGGCCTGGGGTCACAGGAAAAGCAAGAGAAATGGCTGGAAGGAGAAAAGCCAGAACAGCTCACATTTATTGGATGCTGTATATGTTCTTTGCCATGCTAAGTTCTCTGCAGTCTTTATCACTTTATTGAAACTTCTAAGCAATCTTACCCAGACTAGCAAATTCAGGCACTGAGAAGTCATGAACTTGCCCATGTGCTTTTAGTTTTGGCTTTGAACCATGTTAATGGCTTATATATTGAAATTGAAATTAAGTCAGAAATTTAAATATTGAAATTTAAATTTAAATACAAACAGAAATAAACTAATCTTGCTAAGACACAGAGTACTCTGACTCTAGTTCTTCAGCAGGATATATTCAAAGGACAAAAAGAATTGCAGTGCCCAGCTGGTGTGGCTCAGTGGTTGAGCGGCGACCTATGAACCAGGAGGTCAGGGTTCGATTCCCCGTTAGGGCACATGCCGGGGTTATGGGCTCCATCCCCAGTGTGGGGCGTGCAGGAGGCAGCCGATCAGTGATTCTCTCCCATCACTGATGTTTCTCTCTCTCTCCCTCCCTCTCCCTTCCTCTCTGAAATCAACAAAAATATATTTAAAAAAAAAAGAATTGCAGTGCTAAAGAATGTACATATTTTTATTTAAAAAATTTTTAATTGATTTTTAGAAAGAGAGGGAGATGGAAAGAGAGAAACATTGATTGGCTATCTCCTGCACACCTCCTACTGGAGACTGAGCCCACAATCTGGGCATGTGCCCTGACTGGGAATCGAACCAGCAACCTCTAGGTGCATGGGACAACGCTCCAACTGAGGCACACTGGCCAGGGCATATATTTTTAAAAATTAAATTTTTAAAAACTGATATTAGAGAGAGGAAAAGGGAGGGAGGGAAAAAAGGAGAAGGAGAGAGAGAGCGAGAGAGAGAAACACTGACGTGAGAGAAATACATCGATTGGTTGCCTCCCTTATGCGCCCTGACCAGAAATCGAACTTGCAACACAGGTACAGGTAATTGGACCTGTGACCTTCTGGTCCACAGGACAATGCTCTAACCCAGCGGTCACCAACCGCTGGTCCATGGACCACTGGTGGTCTGTGAGGTCCGAAAGGTTGGTGACTCCTGGTTTAAGGAAACCTTTGGAGCAGCGGTCACCAATGGAGCCACACCAGCCAGGGCAAAAATATATACATTTTTTAAATCATGAATTCATGATGATCTTCAATTCCAAATCAATGCCACAGTGTTCTTCCTCTCATCCCATTCCATATTCATAGTTTTTTTCTCGCATTTGAGAACCCTGATTTTCTAAACATCAACATTACATTTACTCATTTACTCAATACTACAATAATCACAGAACAGTTTTGGAACTCATACGATTACCATTACCCACAACAAACTGTGAACCTGTTGATGTCTGTCATTTCCCATCAAAATAAAATCCCACCTTTTGGGATTCTGACTAGAATTGCATTGACTCAAATAGAGCATTATTAGGAGAACTGAGATTACTATATTGCATCTAAACTCATAGATACAGAGAACAGATTGGTGACTGCCAGAGTAGGAGGATGGGAGGGAGAAATGGGTGAAGGGGGTCAAAAGCATAGTAACTAGAGTTAATAATACTGTATCGCATATTTGAAAGTTGTTAAGAATAGTTCTTCAAAGTTCTCATTAAAGAAAAAAAAATTAGCCATGTATATTGCCAGACATTAACTAGACCTATCATGATGATCATTTCTCAACATATACTAATATCAAATCATTGCTGTACACCTGAAACTAGTATAATGTTCTATGTCAATTATGTCTCAATAAAAGGAAGTTATTCGATAGCACACAAAAAATTGTTTTTCAAAATAAAAAAGTAATTGTAAAATATTTGCGCCACCCCCAGAAGAACTGTAAAGGCTTCAAAGATGGTCCATATTCCTGGTTTATCTTGAGTCCATGGCCCACCATATCCCAGTTTGAACAAGTTATATAGGATATACCTTAGAAGAGACACAAACAATTGATACTGGTACAAAGTCGAGGCAAATTCTCAGCCTAAGAACTCTTCAAGATACTTCAGAGGACATCTCCCCTTGAATATCCAAGGGGCATCTCAATCCAACAAGTCCCTCAAACTTGCTAATAACCCTCAAAGTTGCTCTTTTTCCTAAGATCCATAGGAGTGAATGGCAGCACCATCAATCCAGATGTACCCAGCAGGCTCTCCCACTCCTTCCTCCCATCGGTTCGGCTGCCAAATGCCAGTCCTACCTCCTTTACAGTCTTGAATCCACTCACTTCTCTTCATCATTACTCAAACTTAGTTTTAGAATCATCACTTTTCATCTAGTCCTGTTCAACAACTTTCTAAATGTCCCCTCTGCTTTGAACCTTCTATTTCCAGCTGCAAATCCACTCCCGGAAATGCAGTGGTGAAGGGCAAGAACCAAGGGGTTGTATGTGCCTCAATTCACTAGCTATGCGAACTTGAGCAATTTTCTTAAGCTCTCAACCTCAGTTTCTTCTCTGCTGAAATATGAAGGATGACACCTGCCTCTAATGGTTGATAGAAAGATGAAAGAAAATAAGGCATGTCCTGTCAACAGTGTTTCACACACAGAAAGTCAGGGTTTTGTATGTGTGGGGGAGAAGGGACAGAGGGTAGGGCACATGATGGATGTGTCCAGGACTGCAAAAATCAGATACGATGCAACGTCCTAAAGCATTAGGGTAACTTGAGAGTTTGAGAAAACATTGTATAACCAAATAAGGATATATTGTGGAGGCATGTAATTCAAACCTTGCATAAATATTTAACATAAAACGAGATTTCAATAAAACTTTTCTCCGGGGAGGTTAAGGCTGTTCAGAATATGCCTCCTAGAACCTCCGGGGAGTAAACATTCTCTTCTCTCCCCTACATGCGTCCAGTAGAAAAGTCTGGAACCACTGGATGCACTCAATAAATGTTATTATCCAGTTAAAAACCTCCCAGTGGCTCCCTGATTCCTTCAGGATGAAGTCTGAACAATGAACACCGCTGCTCAGAGCGCGGGGTTACCTCTCCACCTCATCTGTCTAGACTCCCGCATCAAGTCCCACTGCAGGGGCAGGAGTCCTATACCCCACCCTCACCGCCTGGGACCATTTCCGCTCCCTGGATCCTACCACCCCCAGCCCTACATCCGCCCTCCCCCTGGCCCACTCCTCTGTCCTTGGGCCCCGTTTCCTCCGGCATTTCTGAGTTCAGTCCTCCTCTCCCGGGCTGGGCCAGGACCCCCGCGTGCTCTATCACACCGACACTGCCCCAGCTGTTAAGTTCTGGGAGTTATGGGGCTCTGTTGCCTTTTCCACGGTACTACTTGGCGCTCAATACAGGCTTTTGAATTAAGTAAACTTAAGAATCCGGGTCTCTACGATTTCTAGAACTAGAATCTTTCAGCACTCAACAGCGATTCCCGCCATCTCCCCGTGGGGAGGGGCGTCGGGACTGGTCTCTGCGCTCCGTCCCAGCCCGCGTTCCAGGGCCTAGCAAACGCCGGACTGACCGGGAAGGACTCCAGCTTCGACAGACAGTCCAAGGGCACGTGCCGAAGAACCACGGACGCCTGCGAGCCGCGCTCCAGCCCTGGGCAACCACAGCCGGCGCACCCGGGGCCCGGCGGAAGCGGCGCGCGCCCTCTCCGCGCATGCGCCGCAGCGCCGCGACCCAGGGGGCGGTGCCCATCGGAGGGGCGTGACAGTCCTCACTGAGCAAGCGCGCGGGTTGGTCCCCGCCCCAGGCGGGCTTGGCGGCCTAGAGACGCAAACAGGTGAGGCTCGAGCCCTTCCACAAAGGAACGCAGCCTCCAGACCAGCGGGCGGGCGGCTCCTCACCCCTGTTCCGTTCCGTCCTCAGCAAAGGCCCCACTAACAGGAAAGTCGCACAGTCCCGCGGACACAGCGTCCTTGCCGCGGGTCCAAAGCGCCCGGGGCAGCTCCGCACTGACGCCGGAAGCTGGGCCCAGGACCGCAACGGAAGTCCCGCCTCCCCCCCGTCCTTCTCCGCCCCATCCGTCCTGGCTTGCTCTCCAGTCTCGGACACCCAGTACCGGGCCTAGTTCTGCTCTTTCACCACCATCGAAAGGAACGATAGACTGTTCGGGAGACCCATTTTTTTTTTTCAAGGGCGCTGCGACGATGCAAGAGGAAGTACAGAGCCCCCTGCCTTTGCTCGGTAAATGTTTCCCATTCCGCAGCACCATGGTGGAACCAAGTTTTATTGGGTAACTTCTTTGCTGCAACCCTCTCCACATTCCCTAGGGGTAACTCAGAAGTCATCTCCTAGATAGTTTCCTTGAAACACCCAATCTCTGAGGTCATTTTCTGCTTTGCTACTTGAATACTGACACTGCTATTAACCACCACCTCAGGTAGCGTCCCTCTTTTCCTGAATTAGCTACCCCAAAAGCTGACATGGTCGTTGCCCACCCTGCCTCTGCTCAGAGAGCGCTACCACAGGCCTTGCCTGTCACCTCCAGGGAAGCAATACTATATATATAGTATTTTGGGACACTTAGGACCACCTTCCTCACTGGGGGTCTCTACAGTACCTGTCTTCCTTAGATCCAAATGAACTATATACTTGACTGCAGAGGTGGTCATCTTATGCATTCTCTATGGAAATGACTAAATGAAAAAAATCCCGACATAATAGGACACCCTGGTTTACACATACGGAACCTTTCGACAAAACTGCACTGTCCTTGACTGGAGGCTCAGATGCTGCTAGAACACCCTGCGACACCCCTGCGCGGTGCTGCAGTCAGCCATTTGCAGCTATAACCCTTTCTGGTCCCTCGACTAGGGGCCCTATGCTTTTCCTCCCCACTGGCCTGGAGGTTGTTTTTGTCTTATTCACATTTGTTAAGTCTGTTTCTGTGTAAGGCCCCCTTGGTTGAAGGAAAAGAAACCTGCTCCTAGTTTCCCTTTCAGAGTTAGGAGCCTGTTTTTGACCAGATTAAAACACCACTGAAGGATTTTTAAGCAGAATCAGTAAAGGGATAGGACCTGCCCTAGCTGGTTTGGCTCAGTGGATAGAGGGTCCCGAGTTCAATTCTGGTCAAGGGCACCTAGCACGGTTGCAGGTTCGATCCCTGGTCCCTGGTCGAGGTGCATGCTTAAGGCAACCAAACGATGTGTCTCACATCCATGTTTCTCTCTTTGTCTCTCCCTTCCCTTCCACTCTCTCTCTAAAAAATCAATGGGAAAATATCCTTGGGTGAGGACTAACAACAACAACAAAAGGGATGGGACCTCAAAAGGAAGGGGCTGATTTGGAAAAGAAAAAGATGGAGTAGAGATGTAAAGAAAGCAGTATTAGAACTGAGACAAAAAGGGTAGGATTCCAAAACTTATCTTGATCATAAATACCCTTAGATGTTTGCCCATTCTGTGTCTACAGAATCGTTTCACAATATCTGACATATCATGACCAATCAGGAGCTAAGGAAATTTTAGCAAAAATGAATTCCATTTGGCATGACATCAAAATTTTATTATTGGTAATAACCTTTAAATCAATGAAAAAGTGACTTAGCCCTAGCTGGTTTGCTCAGTGGGTAGAGTGTTGGCCTGAGGACTGAAACGTCCCAGGTTCAATTCCAGCCAAGGGCACATGCTTGGGTTGCAGGCTTGGTCCCCAGTAGGGGGCGTGCAGGAGGCAGCCAGTCAATGATTTTTATCATTGATGTGTCTATCTCCCTCTCTCCCCTCCTCTCCAAAATCAATAAAAAAAAATATTTTTAAAAAGTGATTTATTTCACCACAAATATTTTACTTCAGAACATCTCTTTGGTTGAGGGACATCTAGAATCAAGTGTTAGTGACCTGAAAAAGATGTATATACATCACTTGGAGCAGACTTCTGAAACGGTGATTGACCAGTTTTACAGATGAAGCAAGCCAAAACTGAGGTCTTAGGAAGTTTAAGTCATCTGATAAGGTTCTGCTTGGCAAACTCAAAATATCCCTCCTCCTCCTTTTACTCAAATCTATTGCTTTTTCTCGACATTTTATGAGTATGTACAACGCACAAGTGATTACATATAACTAAAGAGCACAGATCACCTTGCCCACTCTATATAAAGCAGGGATTTAAAAAAAATACTTTTAAGCCATGTTTTTTGAAAACTTAGGGTTTTATGGACGTGCCTTAGGAAGCTTGACAAGAGTAAGGAGGAGGCTGAACAACGGGCCTTTGGATCCCATCCCTGCTTCAATTAAAAATAAAAAGATCTGCTTTCATCTGTTTTAGATAATGGAGCATTACAGTTTTATATTATTACTCCTTTGAAAACTTAGTTCTGCTATTAGCAATCCAAGTTTGAAACCATTTAAGAATTAGGGTATAACCCTAGCTGGTTTGGCTCAGTGGATAGAGCTTAAGTCTGCAGACTGAAGGGTCCTGGGTTTGGTTCTGGTCAAGGGCACATGCCAGGGTTGCGAGCTTGATTCCCAGTATGGGGCATGCAGGAGGCAGCCGATCAATGATTTTCTCATCATTGATGTTTCTATCTCTCCCTTTCTCTCTGAAATCAATAAAAATATACATATTTTTAAAGTATTAGGTTATAAATTTGGTAAGTATTTATAGAGACCTAGTTGGGTGGCTGGGGTGGAGCATCGTCCTGTAAACCAAAAGGTTGTGGGTTCGATCCTCAGCCAAGGCATGTGGAGAGGCAACGAACTGATGTCTCTCTCACACTTCCACTAAAACTAATGAACGTTTCCTAGAGCAAGGGTTAAAACAATTAAAACATTTATAGACTGGAGCCAAGCTCCTTCATGACGGGTCAGAGGCAAACAGATGCAGGGTCAGAATACATAGCACCATAAATTGAACATAAAAGTTGCTCATGAGTCTTCTTGATGTATGTCATCAATTCACTGAAGAAACTGAACTGGATACTTGGAGGCCAGAATGATCAAGAATTGAATTGGGATATTTGGAGGCCAGAATGATCAGATTGTTAATTCTGAGAATGAGTGAGGAGGATGTGGGCAGGCAAGCAGGGCACTTAAATTACTGCCTACTAAAAAGATACTATGGCTACTAAATCACAACTGTCCTGGGAAAACCAGGGTTAACCTGTGAAAGCTTGCAGATCTCCCCTCAGGCACATTACAGTTAGAAATGTATATGTGGCTTCCAGAGATGAAATACCTTGATACTCAGGGCTTCACTTTCCCAGAACTGCTTTGCTATAGAATACGCTGATCCTGCCCTGCTGTGCCTGCTCCCTAATGGGAGTTTGCACTTTTGCAGTATCTGACACTAAATGAGCATGGTGTGGTGCAATGTCTAACATGAAAATGGCATCAGGACACTCTCTTTTCTTTTTAAAATTCTGTATGGCTCATAGCTGTTGGAGAAATGGGAGTACCCTCAATTAACTGCTTCTTTTGAATCTGGTCAGTGGCTTACACTCAGTCAGACTCATGCATGAGCTCTTTGTAAGGTCAAGAGAACATTGCCTTTTAGTGCCGAATATGTTACCACATGAACTAAGTAATCAACTGTGAATCCCTGGTACTTTTCTTTGGTTCTTCTACAAGCCTGGGGCCCAGAGATAATCCATCTGTAACTCAGGGACGGCCAATAGGCATCCAATACTTGCTCCAGTTTTAGAAGTAAATTAAGTCATAGGAAAGTCGCTCGAGTCTTCTTGATGTCAATTCAATTCACTGAAGAAAAAAATGGCATGGCTAGTGTGGCTCAGTGGTTGAGCATTGACCTATGAACCGGGAGGACAAAGTTTTGATTCCTGGTCAGGGCACATGCCCCGGTTGCAAGCTTAATCCCCAATAGGGGGCATGCAGGAGGCAGCCGATCAATGATTCTCTCTCATTGATGTTTCTATCTCTCCTCTCCCTCTCCCTTCCTCTCTGAAATCAGTAAAAATATATATTTTTAAAAAGTGGATTGTAAATGTTTACTTTCATTAAAACTGTGCTTAGTGATTTTACAGAAAACATACATAAGAAGTGTTACACACAAAATGAGATTAATTTCATTAGCACCTGACAGGTATACACTAAGGTAAAAAAACACATGCTTGACTTAGAAATTTTACTTTATTTACAAATGTTGTGCTATAAACAAAGATGCAATTCTACCCCTTTTAAATATTATAACCCATAATTTCTAGAAAAAACATTTACATAGTTTTATTCCTTCTGCATAAAACTGTATTATGGGATGAGTAAAATACAGAATGGTCTAAAACAAAACTTATCCAGCATGAATGCCCTAGTGACAGATGGAAATAAGAATTAAGACTCACACTCCTTAATGCAGAGGTCCTCAAACTTTTTAAACAGGGGGCCAGTTCACTGTCCCTCAGACATTCCACACATGGGCACTGCGGGCCGGGGACAGTCGGCTGCTAAGCAGGACAGGCAGCGGTGGCAAAAACACCCAGCGGGCCGGATAAGTGTTTTCGGCGGGCCGCATGTGGCCCGCGGGCCATAGTTTGAGGACTCCTGCCTTAATGTATTCCTCCAAGAAATGGAAACACGGTACTTTTGGAACAGGTAAATGCTTCTTACGTAGATAAGTCTTACATAGTATAGTTTATAATTGTGATTGTTTAGGCTTGCCCTTAGAGGCTAATATTTATGCTGATTTCAAAAAATAAGTCACCATTGTAAAAAGGG